GGGGGGGGGTCCGAGGAAACGCCTGGTGTCGGTGGCGTTGTAGAGCGATAAAAGATGCCGGTGTAGCATAAATCAGCGGATCAACTTCCGTTTAATTTACACACTCGCGCTGTCATGGTTTGAAAGGGTCTTGCGCTAAATTGCGCCGGAATGAGGTCAGTATCCAAGATTCGCTCGCCAGATTTTATACCTCATAGCGCAAAACGAGCAGCCCCCTCTATCCCCCTCTATCCTCCTCTTCCCCCATAGAACACGCCTTCCGTTTCGAAAGTTACTTGTATATTGAATAAGTTGCTCGCGCATTGTACGCCCCTCTGCACACCCGCGAAGTTTGTAAATTATCCATTTTACACAGGCCCTTACATAATTGGAAGATGCACGTTTCATGCTGCCGTCCTCACACTTCGCCGCCACATTTGAACGTTATCTTTTCCGTGAAGTTCATCGAGCTCTGAGTGCTCCAGTCTGCGCGAACTGCGCCTCGTGCCACGTTGATGTTGCACGTTAACTCGTATTGGATAATATACACGGAAGAAAGAATTAATTTCTCGATCATTGAGCTCCGTCCGCCACACGCTATAGTGATATTATGGTCCGTGCGATGAGACGGCCCGTGGGCTTTTTATATTTTTTTCTTTTTTTTATGAATGGCAATTTTGTCTCGGATATGCGATTGATATCTCATCTTTCAGCACCGCAAGATTTAACGCTAGTTTTATCTGCACGCGTAATCTACAGACCAGTTCTGAGAGTTTCAGATTGGTTTTACAATTACTTCAAAATTATTCCAAAAAATTTAAAGGCCGAACGTATCAAAACCTGTAGAAATTTTAGAATTGTAAGATTTTGTAGCTGAGGTAATTTTTTTTTATCGAAGTGACACAGGAATTTGACAATTTATATTTTCAAAATGTCACTTTTTCTAATTTGACGGAATTATTGCTTTAATATTAAAAACTTCAGAATTATCGCGGGTGTAAGTGGTATTTGCGTTGAATCTTGCAGTGCTGAAAAGCGAGATGCCAACTTTATACCGGCAATTTTATCGCGGTTTATCGCAATTGTCGTGCGTTCCGAAATGATCGCATATTTCGCGACATTTATCTGAGGGTTTCTCCGAAACGACGATATCTCAAACTCTCTACTCAACACTGAACGTCTCTCGGAAATACCGAGCAATTATCGCGATTTTACATCGCGAAACTTACGAAACTTGAGTGAATAATGATTCCTCTTTAACGCACATAATGAGAAACCTGATATATCGTTCATCGTTTCATACGCGATAAGCTGAATGCATATGTGAAATTTACGCGTTCATTCTTTTTTTACATTGGACCGGCGATGTGATATCCGATTCGGAAAACCCGATAGCTGCTGGAATAACATTTTTCTTGGCGTGTTGAAAATGGTGCCCCCGCGGCGGCTCGCACGAGCGTACCGCGCCGGCATTATTCGGCACGGATAATTGTTGATCGAGTTATTTGCGTTTCACGCGCAACTTTCTCTCTCTCTCTTTTGAACGTCCTTGCGGAGCGTGCCGGTATAACGATAACGGTAATCACGCAGATCAATTGGAGGCCGAAAATTATGTCATTAACGCGAAGAATGTGAAATTATCTGAAAACCCGAGTAGAAATTTATAAAACGAGGACTAGAACACTTAAGCCCTGCGCAGAAATGTAACGCTCGTATAAATTAGGACCAAACTTGTAGATCTAACTAGGCTTTATCTTGGCATGCCTAAGCTTTATCTTGATTTATCTGACTAGGCCATATCTTGTTATTCTATCAATTTATAATAAAATTTAAATACGGATTTATAGAGAGAGAGAGAGCCCGTTTGTGTTTTCTTTTTAAACGCTATTTTTGAGAACTTAAAATCAAAGTTAATTATTTGGTCTTATTTCGATCTTATGACGGCGAATTTTACTTAAGTCTATTTAAGACCTCACTTTAAACTATTTCAGGAATTGGTTAATTAGGCCCTGACTTAACCATGTGGGCACAAGCCTTGTCAAGAGCATTCCTGTCGGTGTCTATTCAGAGTCCAATTCACGAAATTCCATTCAGAATTTACCTTTCTTGGCCATATATTTAGACCTAACGAAAGCAGGCCTACTTTGGAGCATGCCTACTTAGGACTACTACATATTTGGGGCACGCCCCGATTAATTTCTATTCCGGGCAGTAACGTTTCCCGTTAGCCTCGTCAAACCTTGCTCCGTGCGATTTATTTTCGATCAATGGAAGATCTCTCTGCGTCACTCGCCGTAATTAAAATCCGTTATTCCTGTGTCGACTCGGTTTATCCGGGCCGGCCTAAGCGCCCAGTACGAGCGCTGCGCGACGGATTAATTTGCGAATTACTCTAAATAATTCAGCAATTACACTATCTCTACAGCCCATTTAT